AAAAGTTAAGCGTTTTTGGAACCAAACGAGATTTGATGAGTCTAAGGCACAACAAGTTTTTTAAAATGGTATTTACCTAACATTTTGAAATGCCAATAGTATCAACAAGATCTATTATTGTTAACCGACGGTTTTCTCTTTGATCTGATTAACGTGTTGTTCATCAGTTGACGTTGATGGTCGTCTGGGACGCTCTTCGTCCTCACTGCTTTCTCTCCCTTCTTTAAAGTCTTTGTATCACTTGTAAACATTTTTTTGCGACATAAACTCATCACTAAAGGCCTTCTGTAACATCCTCAACGTTTCCGTGACAGAATATTCATTTCGCAAACAAAATAATGCAAATTCTTTCAACAAAATCAGACATAGTGAAAATCGAAAAACTCACTTTCGTATGTTTATAAAAACACGCGTAACTACAGTAATTGTATTGCATATCTATGTGTATGTTTTACGTAGGCAAAAATTATCATTTAAATTGGATTTCGTACATATTAATTTCCTCAGAATGGCGATAGTGCAAATTAAGACTGTATTTTTAGGATTGTCTGTTACTTGTTCTGAATAGACCCTTGTAGTATACACACTTAGAATTAATTGTCATGCGAATATTAAAGTGATTAATGAAGGGTTCATCCGGGAAATTTGCCATAATAGATTTGTCACTCATCACTATTTTACCTCTGATTCAAGTTCAACCCTTAACCTTCTCACCTGGTCCGTTATTTGTTTACTTGCGACGGGCAGATGTGCTACTGTATTGGAACTGTATTGTGACTGAGAATATAGCCGTTATAAGTATCGTCATTATACTCTATATAGGGTAGGGGGTCTCATAACTAGAAGAAACACCTTATCAACTGCGTCGGCTACAACATTGAATTTGTTTTTTGATCAGTTTATTGTAAAAATAAATTATGATTTTTCTAAGACATAACAATAAAAAAATCTGTCACAAGGAGACTGAAGAAAATTAATAACACAACCAAAGAAGTAAATCAATCAATACTCCTATTACCTTCATATCAATTAAATAAGACGTTAATTTCTCTATAGAGCATCTACAGTATGTCCGCGGTTAGGGTGAATAAGAGGAAAAACTTTTTTATTTTACATTTTACAAAAAGAAGGCACACTTGATAAAAAGTTTTGCTTGAATTTAAAGTGAGCCATGGTGAAACTTAACTTTTCATGTACGGGGTGTCCAGATAATAAAGAAAAATCTGAAAATGTCATGAGGGAAAAGTACCTTTACTTTTAATATTTCTGCAAAGTGATATTTTGCAAAAGTCGTGCAAAAAAGTTACTTGAGTTTTTAAATAAAACAATTCGAACACTCCTCCGCCAATGTTCACACAAATTTGAAGGCGTGCAAGAAATACATTGTAGCTGCATCTAATATCTTATCTAAAGATATGTACTGTACAGCATCTTTAATTCGTTGTTTCAGCTGCTTTATATTTTTTGCTGTAAAGTTAGCATTTATTTCATAATTAATTACTCTTGGGGGTTTTTAACGAAGTAGGTACAGTGAAGAAAAATGTCATTTTATTCACAACCCTCTATTTGAAATAAAAAAGTTTTTCCTCTTATTTAAATAAGGCCAATTTTCCCACAAATTGGAATTATGTCGTATTCTTTAATTTGGAACAACTTTTCCTAGGGACACTTTTCAGAAATATTAAAAATAAAGGTAGTTTACTCTCGTGACTTTTTCAGATTTTTTATTTTCTATATTTTCCGTAAAATGTAAAATAAAAAGCGGACATGCTGCAGACATTGATGGTTTCTAAGTTGTCTACACATACCTGCATTGTTGTTACCGTTATGCGTTAGGTTTTTCAATTTTTGCTACTATTTAATGCACCGTACTTGTATAAGTCGCAAACTGAAACAAGTAATTTTATGTCTGACACTTTTCTCTAATGTATTGATAATACCGAACATTAAAATTGATATATTTATTTTTGGAAGCCTGAAATTCCTTAGAATAAATTCTTTGGAAAATAAATATTTGGAACGTGGTCTTTGAACCACAAGTCTAATATGCATATATAAAAATAGATGACCCTTGTATTATCATCATCAAAACGATATAATTGTTATTGTCTCTTTCCCTTCATTATTGCTTTCTCGTTTTTTTTTGCATATTGAATGTCGAGCTTAAAAAAGTTGCATTAATTTGGGCCTGTAGGTCAGCGGCGTTAATTACTGACCTAAAAATATGTAGTGGTAGGTACATCTGTGGATCTGCTAGGCGAATCTACTGACAAGATAATTTAGGTATAAGCAAAAAATCAATTACTTTCTGTGGAGTTTGACAGAGTTGTAACTAATACGAAATTTTTGATGAATCAGAATTTACAGTATCTCGAATGAAGTTTTCATTATTATATGCATATATTTTTTAGTTTGTTCATCCGCTTAGTAATGTACGTGATTACAAATGATTTGTGTTATCAGACACGTCATGGAGTGGGAATAACAGAGATTTTAACAAAAAGAATAGCGAGGATAGCGATAAAAGTATGGGAATATCCGGAATTACGTGACACGTTAAACATGTTTTGTGTTTCGTTTTAAGGGGGCGTTGTCCAGCATTTTAGAAAATCTAAACAAGTTAGGTACAATATTTCTTCACTATATCACTTACATAAGTTTTCTTCTGAGTATAAGACAACTGACAATACATTCAAAACAACATTTGAACTGTTGAACATACAGAAAATCTCGTACAGTGCTATTAAGCATAACCACACCCCGCAAAATATTTTTAGGGAACTATTAACACATGCGTTAATCACAACTATTGAGTATCATTACAAAATTTGTTGGGCAAAACAGGAAAGGTACATTTTCTGATGTTTACATGATCTACGTGATCTTTCAATGCGAAAATTAAAGGACCTTGCAATAGTTTAGCATTAAATATAAAATAAATAAAAATAAAATTACGCTTCGTCACTTCCGAGATAGATCTACTTGTTCCGTCATTGTCTTACCAAAAGTGTCGTCTATAAAACGCTAAGGCTACATAATATACAGGACAAATTTTGGACCGGGAACAAAATTGAATAAAATTTTATGGTTTTTGTATTTACAACAAAACACGGGACAAAAACTGGACGACACGCCACGACTATGCACCTTTTTTATGTAGTACGTAAGTCGAGTACGATTCCAGAAGTTCTCAGTAAGGTTTAACAATTTTAGTTATTATTAATTTTATCCACCATTCTGAAGTTTCAACAATTCTGATTAGGTATTAAAATGCTACCTAACATTAAAAAATTATCTACAAGTTTGGAAACGCATTGTGTGGCTTTTTATTTCATTATTTAAAGTGGTATACAGTGATTTCGTTGCAATTGATTTTTCCACTTTATTTGTAAGCATCATGGTTTAGCGACGATTAATGTTGTTAAAAGCTTCGTATGGGGATTGTTGTTTTTGTGTTACGTAGTGTATGGCAAACAACAAAAAAGTGTTTCTAGTCATTCACCGTTTCCCCTTGTTAAGTTTTTCGTGAGTATAATTATCCCTTTCAATGCTGCCCACTTATGAAATATTCGCTTGTATTTATAATTATAACAGAAACGTAAATTGTGCAACATAATTACACTCATTAAGTAAGTCGCTGTCACTATCTGTACCTCCACTTTAACAGTTGTATTAATTAGTGCACAATTATTTATATTTGCATTTCAAAAGCATGTGAATATATACTTGCTGATATATCCTTAAACAAGTATAGACAAATGTGTGTAATTGATACATTAATTCAATACAACATAAAACTTACTAGAGGAATTGTTAAACTACAAACAAAATAAATCATTAATAGCCAAAAATAAATGCCAAATTTGATGATCAATTTACTTGAATTGTGTATTTAAAAATATTCGTTGCCAAAAAGACATCTTCAAACGGAGAAGTGTCATTCGAATTAAGGGACATAAGTAGTAGTTAAGTAGGTACATCTTCAAAAAATTTCTGATTATTTACTTATTATGTACTTAATAGAATTTTTACTATATAAAAGTTTATCCTCAACTATTTTGACAAATAGGAATAGTTACAAAGGTAAAAATATGTTCTTTATAAGGATACAAGGATATCTTATTCCTTGTTATACTTACATACATTCTACATAACTTCCCATCACTTAAAGCAAGATGCTACGAATGTTCGCCAACAACGATTCTATTTCTCAAAAATGTGTTTTAAAATTTTTGCTTGTATAGAAGATTGAGGTTTACCTCGTTCGCTGGAAAGTTATTATTAAAAATATGGATTTTTGCCTCGATATTGTTTCAGTTTCAGACTAACCCCAGATACATCCTATTTATAAGGCTTAACGGAAATAGGCCTAAAAATAAATCCTGCGTCAGGTATGTAATACCTTAAAACAAGAATATATACCATGAAGATTATGTAAATCATTAACCATGGTTTAAAGTGATATCAATTCGATTTTAAAACCCATAAAAACAAGCCAAAACAACAGTGACTTAAAACATGTAATTACAAATTTGTAATATACAAGGCGAGTCAAGTTTGAGGGTTAGTAACTATTTAGGATTATTACAATAACGATATTTTTTTTATTTCTAATGGTTACATTGTATTTGTAATAAAATATCCTAATTTTTTGTTTGTGGAACGATTGGTCATGAATTATTTTCAATTTGTTCAACTGTTCAACTCCCATAGTACTCAGTGGCATCGAAATTCTACCATCCCAACTAATTTTTGTCCATTTGCCCCACTTATTAGCCCAAATTTCATCAATCTACGTCAAACATCTTAGGAGATATTTAAATAAATGGAACTTTTTTTAAGTATCAACACTTTGTCTTGAAAACGAAGCGTTCTATGACCTACGTTTATATCAACTTTGTTCTTAGAATGAGCTCATCTATCGATTACTAAAGTTTGACTACAAAAACTTGTTCCTCCTTGGTCCTTCTACATTTCTTATGCTTTCTTTTCTGTTTCAGGGGCGGCGTAGTGTATTATTCTCACAGCGTGCAGATCAAAATTTTCAATTTAGGTAAATATATTTTGTCAAAATACTTGTATATTAACCAATAATTTTATATTTATGTTGAGACCTTCATATTGTACAATATCATAGTTTTCATCATTAATATGTTTATTTTTTCCTGTATATTAAAATAGTTACAACTACAAAGATCATAACACAATAATTAACTAACTAGTTATTTTAAAACTGTAAAAGCACTACATTAAATCTGCAGTAAATATTATTTATGAAGACGCGAACAGTTAAATACAACGTAAGGATAGAGTGAGTGTAATTTTATATTATTTTTTATGCTAGTGCCCATGATTGTCAACAAGTTCCGGAATAAGAGTTGCAACCTATTTTTCTGAAAACAGTGATTCTAATTTTATATTTTCACGTATGAGTTCCTCATTCAAATGAGTATTTATCGATATTTTGAAAAAAAAAACAGTAATTAATAATTTCGATATATCAATTATGTGTTTCTGTATTAATTATATGTAGACATATTATTTTTAAAAGAGTGAACAAATGTGATAGATAATAATAAAATAAATGTTTTCTAAAGAGACACAATACCTACAGCAATTGGGTGTATCTTAAGAAGTGGTAATAAATCACTAGGCGTATTTTATTGCATTTTTTGGCCATTATAGAAAGCAGGTTAAGCATGACCGGCTAGCCCAACTGACCTAATTACAATAGTAATTCTATTGGGGTAATCTCGTTTAATTAAATAAAAGCCCGCTGTGTCTGCAAGTGGGACGAATATACTAATTCCTGAGTTACATGTTCATTTATAAAGCGATTTCTGCATGAAAATATTTCTGAAGAAATTGTAGCTTTAATAGAAGTGTATATAAAGTATGCATAAAAAATATATAATCAATTTATCAAAATTTATGATCAAAAAAACGAGAAATGAGAAAATAATACCAACAGTGGTGAAATTCATGAGTCAAAAGATTTTCCAAGATTTCTGGAAAGATAAATTAAAAGAGAAATATTGCTAAGTCTTTTCAATAATATTGAAATATTTTAAGTTTGACGCAGTTCATCAAACTTTGAGAGATTCTTCATTGGTTCTCCGTACCATAATGTGTTTCTTATCTTCTTATATTTCATTATTGTTATTAACAAATATTCCATTGAAATGAAAATGAAATATCCTTAACTAATATATTTTGAAGGCATGGCAACTATTTTTTAAAATTTACTATAATTCCCGATAAGATCATTTCTTCATTGTATAGAACAGTGGTGGCACATAACTTTTATTAATTTTGTTTAAATTGTCTTATAATGGGATTTTCACTAATTGTTAATGTAAAACGACCAAAAAAAAGGTTATGTGAATTATTAATAGAGAATGTTACGTCAAAAAAGTTGTATTCATCAACACAACTTAAAAAAAGACAAACTCCTAAAACAGTTTGTGTAGTTTTTATTATTTTGTGCAATATGTTGAGACAATGTTTTGATTGAGACAGATATTCCAGACATTTCATAAAATCAATGTTCAATTCAGTCAATGTTTTCACATGTAAGATTATGTATTTTGATATAATCAGGGGCAGGTTAACGCAAAATTGAAAGAGAGAAAGCAAGAAAGTTAATTTCGGAATAATTAAGAATTAAATGATTGTTACTAATCTTTTACTCGTCTTCTACATTTTTTATACATTATTCCAGTAGTTTCCATGAAATATGATAGCAGTATCATCTGCGTAAAAAGTCACATTGTTATTATCATGTAACTTGACAATTTCATTAATTTACATTAAAAAAATTTTAGGTCCCAGCAGTGCCTTGAGGGAAACTTGTTTCTATCCACCCTTCTATTATTTTTTTTTATTAATTTTAAGTTTTTGGATCCGGTAGTAATATATCACCACAAATAATGTCGGATGCCTTAGTTAATTCCATAAATATTAATAATTATAATAACCAAATTAATCATTAAGGGGGATGGTCAAACGCTGATAAGTATCAATCTCTTATAGTGATCCAAGCCAACGTTCTTCCACTCTACCATACCCGCAGAGAGGGAGCCTAGTACGAATATAGCTCTTACGGCCGCGACAGTGGCATTCATCGATTCAAGTATTGACGCCTTGATATAGTAATACATTTTATCTGCTATCACTATAGTAAATAGACTATTAATACATTGTTTTTAAAGGGGTAAGTGGATTTTACCGTAGAAAGTTGCTATGGACAACGAGAGGTAAATGAGGTAACTTACCTCCCTAGGGAAAAAGTGATTTCGAGTTATAAATGCATATTTTATGAACAAATAATTATGAATGAATATTTATAGTAATTGTACAGTTATTACATTTAGTAACATTTATAAAATCTGGATAATTATTCCCCTCACGTTTAATAATTCTCACATTCTTCTCAAAATGATTTGACCGCTTTATTTCAGTCACCGGAGGCTCAATATTATCTGGCTGATCCATTAAAACAGTATGATGCGACGTACTACTAGAACCTGGAGTTGAAGTGTCATTGTAAAGAATTCTTCTGTTGGCTATTTCATTTTTGTTACTTAAACTGTTTGGAACATAACTTTCTGCAATTGTGGCTGATTTCCACCTACCATGTCTTTTGATTGCTAATACGTCAACTCCTGTATTAGCCAGTAACGTTGCCGATATTCTTCGGAATGAACGGCCTGTATATGTTTCAGGATGTTCTAGTTTCAAAAACTGTGCAATCTTTTTAGGAATCATAGAAAGGGTACTCTTGCCGACTGGTTGGTTGTAACATCTACCTGCTTGATAGCGCATAAAAAGCGTGAAATATCAGTTTTAATTTCCAATCTAATCTTGATATATTTCTTGAGAATTTCTAGGTGAGAAACATAACCCAGACGAGAAGTAATTGTAAACGTACGTGACATACCATTTTTGGAATCTGGAATTGTAACTACAATAATGTCATCGAAATTTTTGCGGTTGACGTTGCATAACTCATGAGAACGGCATGCTCCTGCAATGCCTAAGACCGTCACTACCTTCATTAGCAAATTTGTGTTATCGGGTGCCTGAACGAAAAAATCGTTGACTTGCTCTTGTAAAAACATTTGACTTTTTAGGTGTATAACCGTCATTCTTACGATTCAAATATGCTCTCAGCTTGCGGTATTTGGATGTATCCACTCTATGAAAATAGTTGACTCAATCATTGAGTAGTCTCTCCACAAACTCGCCGGTGACTTTAAAGTTCTTGACTTCTCCATGAAATATGCCAGCAGTGACATTTTAGAAACCCCAGAATTTTCGTTCTGGCACCATTCTTTGAAATTTCTATATACTGGTCTGTAGCGCACTTTCGACTTCTCGGGCAATAAAAATTCGCATTTTCTATTTGAAAATCACCCATTTAGAAATAATAATTCAAAACCAGCAAAATTGCAACTTTTATGTAGATTTGTTTATAAACACCTTAGAAAAGACAAAATCCAAACAACCAAGGCGACTTTGCAAGATTTCGAATAATGTCAAAATGAATTGATTAAGAAATGTCAAAAAATAAAACCTAATCTTTATTTCATGAAACATAAAGAACTGTGGAGCAGATAAAATGTTATACACCACGCAGCAGTTATAATTTACCAGTCTCAGACTCTATTGCCAGCCATTGCTTGCAATAGAGTTCAAGAATACTAATAATACTTAACCTGCTTTATGGTGTAAGTAACTATTTTTCTATTATTAATATAATTGATCATTTAACTAATTTCGTAATTAAACATTTTTCAAATATTTTAAAAAGTTGTTCATCAGAGAGGTGTTATATTTCATTCACTCGAAGAAATCTCAAAAATATTTTAGCTCGTGCTGAAAATTAGTTTTCAGACCGATCTAATTTTTCCTAAATATATGGAATACATACACAATGCTGTTTGAGCTGTTATCGGTGAATAAATATCAAACTTTCCACTTTCATCTCCATACCTTCTCTTCTTTTTGTACCGATATTAGATACGCTTTTAATCCCAGAAAACCTTCGTTTAGAATTCAGCCCCCGATCCGGTACCGCAAACAGAGCTGAAAATAAATTTTTTAACGGAAACCAAAGCTTTTATCCACGGGTTCGTATTACAAAAAGGTTTTTCGCTTCCTCGCTCTCTCAACTAAAAAATTGACTCGAACAATAATTATATACGGTCGTCGTCTTGTGTCTTTTGTACCATACTTCCTGAAGCTCCGGTTTATATTTTATCAGATTGTGCCCAACAATGGGTTTCCCGTCATATATTCTCTCTAGTGTGAAAAGTAGTGCAAACTTATTTAGATCCAGTGTTATTTAGTATGGGATAGGGTAGATGTAACACTGATAGATATAATAGGCACCGCATAGAATGATTAGCATATCCTAAAATCGACAGGTTAGATAGTTATTATAAGCAACATATGGTAAGTGCCTCATGTGTGGAATAATAAATTAGCTGTTAATCAATCACATGCATGAAAAAAAAATTGAAGAAATTTAACAGCATACTTATCTACATATGTAATGTGTAACCTCTGCTTTCATTTACTATTGTTTTTTATGTTATTTGATTAACACTAATTGACTAATTTATAGTGTTCACATATAAGTAAAAATTTGTCTCATTTTTATAAAAAAAATATAACACCTGTTAATTTTAAATTCATATTCTGCCCGAGGTTCAGCCAAGGGCATATTTAGTATTGAACAGTCATAATGTTGGGCCTATTGAGCCAGTAAAATATTATTATGTCTATGTGAGTGTTGTTAATTTTTGTTACGGTATGGGATACCGACGCGAACTATCGAAAATGCATTCGATTTCCCAGGATACAGTTTATACAAGTATTAAAGTTATTTAACCTGCTAATTACGGTTTATCATGACAATACAGGGTGTGTAAGTGTAAAAATAGGACATAGAGTAACTATGAATTTAGGACAAATTTTACAGTGTATGCAAATAGATGACATTAATAGAGATGATAAAGTCACAACGTTTATCGAAAAAGCCGTCAATTT